CAACAGTTCCGACTGGTGGGATTGGTTGCTGATGCAGTGGCAGGATGACCAGCAGTGGCTCCACAACTTCTGCATGAGGAAGGAGACCTTCATGGAGCTGTATGCTTGGCTCGCCCCTGCCCTCTGTCAATGTGACACCCAGATGCGACACACCATCCCTGTGGAGAAGCGGGTTGCAATCGCCATCTGGAAACTCGCTATGCCAGACAGTTACCAACCCATGGGCAATCAGTTTGGTGTGGGAAAGCCCACCGTTGGGGCCCTTCTCATGGAGGTAAGGCACTCTTGGGCTGCAGTCCCGGGTGGGGTGGAAGTAATTGAAAGGAGGACCCTGGAGAAAGGGTGGGTTGTGGGTGCTCGGAGGTGGGCTGGGGGTGATAGTGGGGAAGCCCTATCTCCAGGGGATTCTGTAGTCCCACCCTTACACAGTTCTGCAGGGGGGAGGGCCTCATAGGGGGTGGCTGCTTGGGTGCTTGGGGGGGGAGAGTGAGGAAGGGGATTCGGGGACCTCCCAAGGACTCAGGCACCCCCTTTGATTTTCTGTTTTGTGTCTTTGTTTGTTTCCTTCTGCAGGTGGTGAGGGTCATAAACTCCATCCTGCTGCACAGGGTCATTCACCTGCGAGACCTGGACCCCATTGTGGCCAAATTTGCTGCCTGGGCTTCCCCAAGTGCGGGGGAGGAGTGTGCGATAAATGGAACCCACATCCCCATCCGTGCCCCAGAACATCGAGCTGCCCAATATATCAGCTAAAAGGGCTGTTTTTCTATGGTTCTGCAGGCCCTGGTTGACCACCACGGACAGTTCTCAGACCAGCTAGTCAGGGAGAGTGCACGATGCCCACGTGTTCAGAAACTCCAGCCTCTACCAGAAGATGGAGTCTGGCACATTCTTCTACCAGTGGTAGGGAAGGGGCTACACCACCCCCCAGAATGCAGTGGAGTTCATTGTAATAGGGGCAGGAATGGAGTCCTGCCCTGGAGTGAGACTTGTGCTCCCTCGCCC